ATAACATATGAAAAGCATTAACACTTACAGACGATATAAACCGACTTAAGTAAATTATATATTAAGTCATATATAAGTAATATAAGTAAGAATGAAATGTCTGATGTAAAACCATGCGTAGACGAAAGAGTCTTAACCGCAGTCTTCATATTCGATAAAAAGAATATACTTTTAAATAGGTGGATAGTTCTCTCAACAGAATTAGATCACAACGGTGCTTGCTTAAGAGAAATCTCACTACTCAACTGGAAAGTTCAGACGATGGACCGTGTATTAACTCTTAATGAGAGTAATCTGTGTGATATAATACCATGCCTACACCAAGAAGTGTTAAATCATATTATTTACTTTTATAAATTTATCTATATGAAATAGGTAGTAGCTTATATTTAGTAGATTGGAAAGAATGACTGTACATATATTGATCAAATTGTGAGACAGACTGATAAAATATAATGTATAGATCATTGTTAAGAATCAAGTAAAGTAATAAGTCTGGTATATACTTACATCAAAGTGTCTTAAATTTTATTATTTTAAAACAGACACATATGTACGTATAGGTGTTGGGTTCAATTGACTGGTTAAGAACGTAGAACGTAGAACAACCTATTTATGATACTACAGTTTAGGACCAGATATCATAAATAAAATTGAGCAGTACTTAGATATATAAATAGGCTACTACATATTGACATATGTAAGTTATAGCCTTCTATGTTTCGATACACTCACAATGTACAATATATAATACTCCTATAATAATTATCCGAGACATCCTCACATCTCTCATTGACGGCTGATTTTGCGTGTTGGGTGCCAAACTCTGTGCACAACCTAAATTGAAAGTCGTGGAGATTGAACACACTCTATACACTATCAGTTCATTGCCCAGCAAAGCAACAATCCAGGGGTGTAACGTGAATGTTGTGTGACATCTTGGATTGAGGACAACAAGGATTGCGCTGGCATTTTCCATGTTAAATGCAATCAGACACGTTGGTTTGTGTACTCACTTTCAGAGACTCGCGCCAACTACTGTGATCATATGGGCATATATCATATGATCATATGAACTACAAAATATATGCCGCATATGATATTTTCCTGTTTCTGAAACTAAACTAAACTTCAAGGAGGTTGTTTCGATTTGTTTGCGACCGTTGAAGACCTTAATCAGCTTAAGAAAAATGTATGTAGGATTGGGTCAAGCACTAGTATAATTGCACTGTACTTGAGGACCATTTTAAGGTGATAAGCTAAATTTTGATTTTTTTATGGGTTTTTGAGAGTTTTAAAAATTCATTCTGAATACTTTTTAAACAGAGTATCGAGTTATTCTTATGTACTTAATTCCACCAGTACTTAAATACCTATTATAGGGTACTTAACCGGCCTAATAGTATACTATGAAATGTAAATATGTAAAATTATCGTTTACTATTTCATATATGGAAACACAGGCTGCATTCTGACTAGATAAGAGTATGGAGTTAAGGGAGTAAGCCGTTCGGTAGATTTTGCATAAGTAATAAAGTACACATCATGCATAATTAAAATAATGAAACGGTCAATTTATAGTTTTTGTTTTTGTTGTCATCGTCGTTGTCGTTGTTGTTCTTTTTATTGTTAATTTCAGAGCACATAGCATGGTATAGTCCATAGTATAGCCCAAAGTAAATTGGTATTTTAATGCAACAACTATGTATGGTCGAGAGTAACAGTCTCTGGTGAATTACTAAAACCATAAATATTTGCACAAATTGAATTTGACTGGTTAGAAAATGTTTAAGTGTTTCTCTAAATTTATATCGCTTGATGTCAAAATTTTCATAGAAATCAGTTATTAAAACTAATTGAAACATAAGCTTCGTGGGACCAATAATTGAGTGGATCTTGAAAAAATTATAAACTCAAATTTACGTATGTTATAACATATAAGTATATATTAAAATTGTTAAGAGTTTACCCATCCAACGTGGCAATCATCTTTTTGCTTATGTGGTTCTGACAACCCCACAGTTTAATGGTTCGTACTATTAAGACATTTATCCATATATGAGGAGTATGGATGGCTTGATTTTACGTGTATGAAGGAAAAAATTTTGATTTGTTTTAACATTTTTCAAAATTAAGTAATACGGATACGAAAAAAGTGGATTTACAGTTTTGACTTTTTCCGGTCTCAGCAGCGCAAATTAAGTTTTATTGCTATTAAATATGTAATTTATTTGATAAATGACTTTATTTTCAAGTAAATCCATAAAACTGCACAAAATCTAAATTGAGGCTCAAATGTTGTAATAAAATGTCCCATGACATATTTATGCTTCATTTCAGAAAAATTTTATGTTTTTTTGTCCTTTCTCATCAATGGGTTGCCAACTTGTAAATTAAAATTCCTTTCAAAAGCGTGTAGGGTGGGCTTCTCTTTAACGTTGAAGATGGAAGAAGATGGATGTGAGTCATTAATGACTCCAAATAGCAAATAAAAAGCTTAGGAAATAATGGGAAGTACGGGCTAATAGAAGTAACGTAATGAAATTACAAATATAAATTTTTAAAATTCATATGATATAACTCCTTACGGATATGTTGAAGATATATAAAAGTACAAATAACTACTACAATATTGCGAAAAACTATGATATATGGAAATATAAAAACCTGCTAAAATTATTGCGAGAAACTATGAAGACTGAAGAGAATTTTGTGAGGGAGTAATATGTTACTTTAACTAGTGTATTATTATGATAATTAATACTTAATTACAAATATTCTAAGCGTTCAAAACCAAGTACTTGATTGGAAATTATTAAGTGGTTTAGTTTACTTAGGTATTTTTTAAGAAACCTTTCCCACATCCTTACATTGCGATACAAGAATTTAAAATATGAGTCTAAATTTTAAAAAAGTTTAGTCGTTTTTCTTTAGTAACTTATTGCTCATACTCTCTAGATTTAATGATGACTGGATTGTTGTGTATTCACCTCTTTTATTTGCTTTTGGTAACTGAAATAGAATTCAAGCTTTTTTCCTTTATAAAACACAGGCGAGATGTTTTAGATGTTTTCCTCTATTGAAAAAAAAAAATAAAATTACTTTTATAGGAAGGTATTTTATAGAAATTATTTAATATGACATATTCGTTTCTAAATGAATGGAGACTTTAATTGAATCTCACTGTTAATACAAAAAATCATATATAAACTTTTGTTAGTATAATCTCATTTTTATTTCAGGAACACACTTTCTATAGAATCTTTGTTAGATAAAAAACTTGTTCCTAAAAACCAGCTGAAGTGCTTCAAATCTTATAGACACTTCAAATCTTACAGTAACACTAAGAGCAAATGTATGTTAGTTATATGAATTCTTTAGAACGATGTTGAAACCTAACATTACTTAGATCTTTAATAATATTAACCAATATCTCTACAAGAATCCTTAAATTCTTAATTATAACTTAACGTAACCTATAGACCACCGGCAATATTAACAAGTGTCGTAATCTGGATCCTTAAATTCGTCATTATAACCTAACGAAATTAATATCGTGAATAATATAAAAAGTATTTCAACATGAAAGATTTAAGGTTTTAAAAAACAACGAGTATATACCTATATATATGCATATTGGAAAAATGTTATATATACATATTGGAGAAAAACAAGTAGTTCTGAATATTATATCTTATATTTATCATATCTTATATTTATTCTGGCTTATTAAAAATATTTTCCATTCCTTAGAAAAAATCCAGAGATATTGTGGCACAAAATGAAATTCAAAGCAGAATGTATATACATAACTTACAGAGCTAACAGAGCTTGTGTACTTCGAAGCTCTGTAATGATTTCTTCAACTATTACAATATCTAAGGAGTATCTTATATTTTCTAAATACAACATATACACTGTAGAGGTGAATTCTGTGAGGTGAAATCAACTTTAAAATAGATCTATATAGTGTATTTACTAGGAAGTTCTCTAAAAACCTCTGTAACTATTATATTGTCCAGGATATATCTTACATTTTCTAATCACAATTCATATACTGTAGAGATAAACTCGGTGAGCTAAAATCAATTTTAAAATAGATCTGTTTAGTGTATGTACTAGACAGCTCTTTAAAAACCTCTTTGGCTATTATATTCTCCAAGGTGTGTCTTACATTTGTTAAGCACAATTTATTTACTGTAGTGGTAAACCCTCTGAGGTGAAATCAACTTTAAATTTATAGATCCTCTAACCTTAGTTCACTGTTTATAAATTATATTAGTAACTTGGCAACCCTATCCATGTTTCTTATTCACAAATTGTATATTGCCGCGGTTTTTTGTTCATAATTATTGCGCGAATTTTGTTATAAATCAACGAGTTATTACCACTTTTTTTATAAAATCTAAAACCATTTCATTTTGAATATGAAATTTTATCGCTTTTGCATATTTTGAAAGGATATTTGCATACAGTCACATTATAATACATACTCGCACACATCAATAATAATATCCGCCTAAAAATATATTAACATAATAAATTGTACAACAATAAATTTTCAATTTATTTTGGCATTATGTTGAAAGCAATAGAAAAACATCTATTAGGCCAGCATCAATGGCGGCAATCAATTTCCTCTGAATATAACTTCAAGCTTCAGGAAGAGAGAGACACAGTTCAATAGTTTGTTCCAATGTTTGAGTTTCCATTGCAATTATTTATGCTGAACATTTCAATGTTTTGAATACAGTCAAATGAGCTCGCCTACAAATAATCAAATACTGTTTTCGGATCATTATTGTTATTCCAACTCATCAGAATTTAATTAAAACCAAAATAGAAAGCAGAACAAAATAATTTTGTTTATAGAATTAATCATTTATATTCATATTGTTCATATTAGAATTATATTTTTCATCAAATTTCCAAATTTACAAAATTTAATTCAAATAACAATTTTTCGTACTTCTTTTGTTTCAGATCTTCCATTAAATCCATTAAGACCAATTTACTCGAATTACAATGTCATGCCCACAGCCTTTTATTGCCCAGCCGAAGGATTATTCGCTGACGATTATGACTGTCAAATCTACTATCGCTGTGAAGAGAAAGCAAGAGGTTATATTAAACCATACATGTTTGCTTGCAAGGATGGTACAGTATTCTCCCCCACACTGAAACTCTGCATGCCACCTCTGCTAGCTGGACGTGCTGAATGTCAGCATTATGTGAACGAAATTGACACAGCCGCCGATGACAGCTCAATGTTATACAGTGCAGACAATCTAAGTAATAATAATAAACTACAGAACTATGGCTTGACAGGTTTAAGCGGAGTTTCCGTTATATCCTTTTCAACATCCTCTGCACGTGCCGCAAGCGATGTCGAACAGGGTCCACCTTGCGAGGATGACGGCTTTATGCCAGATCCTGATGATTGTACCATATTTTACCGCTGCATATCAAATGGTCGAAGTTTCAATAAAATCGGCTTTCGTTGTTCTGATGGTACTGCTTGGGATGAATCTCTACAGTCATGTAATCATATACGCCATGTACGCGCAAATGGTGGTTGTCAAGGTAAAGCGAACGCATTAAATGATGAAAATACGGAACAAACATCTACGCAATCATCACACACAAGTTATCAGAATACCACCTCAGCAAGTAGTCAACATCAAAGCTCTACTAGTTCTTCACATAGCTCGTCATCTAGTTCTTCGTCTTCATCATCATCATCATCATCAACTTCATCTTCTAATAGTAATAGTCAACAACAATCTAGTACTACACAAGCTAGCAGCACTGAAAGTTCTTCATCAAATACGCAAAGCTCTACTTCTTCAAGTAATCAACAAACATCGACAAGTTCATCATCCTCTAACCAAGAAAGCACACAATCATCTGCAGAAAATACAAATAACCAAAACTCAAATGAAGCCCAAAACTCAAACAATGAGAGTTCAAGTTCGAATAATAATCAGAATTCTAATAGTCAAAGTTCAAATAATCAAAATGTAAATAATGAGATTTCAAATACCCAAAGTTCTAGCAGTGAGAATTCAAATAACCAAAGTTCTAGCAATGAAAATTCAAATTCCAACCAAGAGAACTCCAACTCCAATCAAAATTCCAATAGCAACTCTAATAGTAATAATGAGAACAACAGTTCAAATAATAATCAAGCTAGCACTGGTACGAGCAATCCCAATCCCACCACTTGTGAAAATGAGGACACTTATATAGCTGATGGCCAAGATTGTGCTAAATTTTATCGCTGTCGTTATGATGGAAACGGTGTACTGGAAAAAGTTCCCTTTACCTGTGGACCAGGTACTATATGGAATCAACAAGAGAAAGTATGTGACGTACCAACAAGTGCACAGAAAGAGCAATGTAAGCTTCAATCTACGACTGGTGCTGCGAACTCAGGTAATGGACGGATGACTTTTTAAAACCAACAAATTTTTTAACATTATTTAGAATATTAACCCTTTTCGGTTAGTAATCAACCCGTCTTGAAGATACAAATAGTCTAATGTGAAGTGTTCGTTTAATATATATTACATATTTATATTTATATATTTATAATATATTTAATATTTTCCCAATATTCCCAATATTTAAATTAAATTTAAAAAAATATT